ACAGCTCCTCCTGAACCAAGGGTAGTTTATATTTCAAAATTCTAACATTGTGAGTTCCTGATTCCTGTTTATTTCATTGTCATTTACAAAGCACTGGACTTGAACATTTTTAACATGCTGTACTAAGATTGTTTCTCCTTTCTGAATGTGTTCCTAGATTGATATATAAAGGGAATCTTATAAAGCTATATGTAGATTTCAGCAAAATAACAGCATAATGAAAATATGCAAATTGGAGAGTAGTGTAGTGATGTGGATTTGCCAAGTGTTTTCCTCAGTGAGTGTAGTTTTGACTAATGGGTAATTTTCATCATGGAGAAAATATGTTTTCAGTTTTTTTCTTACGCAGGATTTTTATCAGGGTGTTTGATAAAAATTTAGGTATTATGTTTGAAACGTGCAGATGACACAAATCTGCATGCATATAGAGTATAATCACTGATAATATAAGGTTTTTAAAAAATATTTTATCTTTTTTTTTTTAATGTGTATGAGTGTTATGCCTGCATGTAGGTAAGTGCACCCATGTCGTGCAATGCCTGTGGAAGACAGAAGAGGCTGTCGGATACTCTGGAACTGGAGTTACAAATGGTTGTTAGCTGCCATGTGGGTGCTGGGATTTGAACCTGGGTCTTCTGCAAGAACAGTCACTGTTCTTAACCACTGAGCCATCTCTCCAGCCCCAATATAAGGTTTTAAATAGAATCATTGAAAAGAATGATCAGTTAAATTAAAACAATAAGATCTAACCTAAAATTTTTATGTTAAGTATCAGAAAAATGAACTATGCAAATTCAAACAGGATACATAAATATCACTGTTTATTTAAATTTTACATGGGATTTTTGGCTGAGTTTACTAAGATTCATATGGAAGCACAAAAGACCTTAGATACCCAAAGCAACCCTGAGCATTAAGAGCAATTCCAGGGGGATTACTATGCTAGATTTTAAATGTATTACAGAGCCATAGTCATAAAAACAACATGGTACTGGCACAAAAATAGACCCATAGATCAAGGGAAGAAAACTGAAGACTCAAATATGAGTATGTGCAATTTCAGCCACCTGATACTTGACAAAGGGGCCAAGAACATTCACTGGAGGAAAGAGCTTGTTCAGCAAATGGTGTTGGCAAAACTGGATCTCCACCTGTAGAAGAGTGAAACTAAACCTTGCACAAAAGTCCATTCCAAATGGATCAAAGACCTCAATGTAAAGGCTAAACTTAATTTGGAAAAGTACTGCCATTATATGTGATGGTTCATACCTGTAATCTCAATACTCAGGAGGCTGAGGCAAGAGGATTACAGCAAGTTGGAAAGCCAGTCTGTGCAACACAGCAAGTTCCAGGCCAGCAATAGCTATATAGAGAGAATCTGTCTCAAGAGAGAGGAATGGAGAGGAGGTAGAAAGGAAAGAGAGAAAGAATAGAAAAAGAAAAGAAAGGGATAGAAGGAGGGAGGGAGGGAGGGAGAAGAAGAGAAGAGAGCAGTTTTAAGTAGTAAGAACAAAAGTATTAAGATAACCTTAGTCCTCAGTGGTAAAACATAGATTCTGGTATAAGGGATTTGATGATAAATTAGATAGGGAATGTGAGGAAGGATCCAAAATAATCCCAGAGTTACTGACTCAAGATGCTTAGACTGCAGCAGTCCATTTACTGAGACAGAAAATAACTGGAGAATTCATGGAGATGAGAATCAAGAATGTGGCGTTGGACCAGTAAAATATGATATGCAAAACAGATAGATTGAATAATTACTCAATTGAATAAGCATGCTTGGAGTTCACAGGAGAAGTAAAGATAAGACCTTCAGTACTTCACTAGTCCACAACCAGAGGGGACTTTCTAAAAGTTCTCTTTTCCTCTCTCCCAGGACATTTGCAATGTCTTAAAGTAGCAGTTAAGGGAGGGGGGAGTTAGTTTCTAGTTGTTTTCTATAGTTTTAATTCAGTATTTTTTAATTTTCTCCCATAACTATATTTTCTTCATACAGCATTGTAGCTGTGTTGAACTTAGGTGTCTAACCTTAACCATAGTTTCAATGAGGCTATCAGAGCATCAGTCAGGTTACCTAGAAGTCGAGGAGTCTGGAATTCTTTCCTAAGACAAAACAAAAAACATATTTATTAAGATATACTATGTATAGCACTCAGCTATTGAACTTTACAATTCAGTGGTTTTCTGAGTATATTCACATCAGTTTTACCCCATAAAAGGCAGCACACCCTTTTATCCTCCACTTCAGCACAACCACTAATCTTTTGTTGCTGTGGATTTACCTATTCAAGATATCCCCTTGTACAGCCTTTTGTGACTGGATTCTTTCACTTAGAATAATGTTTTCAGGATTCCCCCAAATTTGTTCCATTTTATTGCCAAGTCATAGTGGTGGTGTGCATATTTTTCATCTTATTTGTAATTTGGTTGACATTTACATTGTTTTCACTTTTGGTTATTTACTTATTTATTTTGTTGTTGTTGTTTGTTTTGTTTTTGGCCTTTTTGAGACAGGGTCTCCCTGTAGCTCCAGCTGTCCTGGAACTCACTATGTAGACCAGGCTGGCCTTGAACTCACAGAGATCTGCCTGCCTCTGCCTCCTGGGTGCTGGGATCAAAGGCATGCACCACGACGCCCGGTTCACTTTTGGTTATTTAATGAATAATATTGCTGTTGTTTGTGAGCATTTGTTTTTCTCCAGATTCTGGGAAATGTTTATTATTGCCTATCATTCTCATTACAGCTTCTTAGTAGATATGGAGTGAGCTCCTAACTTATAAGTTCCCACAGAATGATCAGCCCTCATTAATGAAATCATCTCCACAGTTTTCTAAAGTAAGCCTGACTCATCATTACATATGAAACAACTAAATTGAAATAAAATTGTTCCTCTTTTCCAGCCTTCTATTTTTTAAAATTATTTAGAGACTCTTCAGAGAACTAAGGATTGGTTTTTAACAATTGTACACCTTGGAGACTGGAGAGGTGGCTCCCCTGTTAAAGAGCACTGACTGTTCTTGCAGAAGACCCGGATTTGATTCCCAGCACCCGTATGGCAGCTAACAATCGTCCAAAACTCCAGTTCCAGGGATCTGACACCTCTTCTGTCCTCCACAGGCTTCACACAACACAGATGGACTTACATATATGCAGGCAAAACACTCATACACATAAAATAAAAATAAATAATTAAATTAAAAATTCTACACCTCAAGGTCATAACTTTTCTTTTTTCAAACAAGTCTGCTGGCCTTGAACTGCGCTCAAGCAGTCCTCCTGCTTCAGCATCCTGGGTAGCTGTGACTACACACATGTACCATTGTACCCTCGAGCTTGTAACTTTTAAATGCCTATTATAGTCAGATTTATATTTAGCATGTGCTACCCCTCCTAAGTTTGCTATTGCCATTTCACTTTCCAGAGCACCTTCCTAGGACGTTTTCCCCACCTACCACTCTGCACAGAGTGTGTCATAGGAATGCTCCCAGGAGGCTGGTGCTGCAGTTAGGATCAGTTTGTCATATTATAAATTAAGTTGGATTGTGTGCTCTTGTGAGTGTTGATTATTTTTTAACATAGTCTCTATAGGAAAATATGATTGTTTTTCAGTCCACATACTTACAAGTGACTATTTTAGAACAGAACTTGATTTCAAGTTGTTAACTATTTACTCATGAAGAAAGTCAAAATAAATTGAATTATTTAACCTGGTGTCAAGAGATCTTATGTTAGTAACCAGCATCATGGATTACAACTTTAGCAAAGTATTATTCCCTTTTGTAAAAATTAAAATTGTTAATGCTTTTTAAAATTCTCTTTTATTACAAATAGAAATTGGAAGGTAGAAGTCAAATTTAATTTCTGTGTGTGTGTGTGTGTGTGTGTGTGTGTGTGTGTGTGTGTATTTATCAAAGAAAGGAGAAAGAAAAAAGTAGTGTTCTTCTCAGAGTTGATTGGGTTTTCAGCAACAGGGAGGTGCTTTTAGTTTCATGTGCTTCAGATCTGTGTCCACAGTCATGGAGTGAGCTATGTAGGTCCTGCTCGGGTTTACCTCTTAGTAACAGTGTTACAGTGAATCAGGTTATGATGAGATCAGCATGAGATTGGTTGATGGCATGAGGTTTTTCCACTTAAGCCTAAATTGTAGTAGATGATTCAAATAAAGTAGTCCATGTCCTTTCCCCCAATAACCATGTATTGAGAAGTAAAAAGCAGGAATAGAAAGTTTTTATTTCACTCACATTCACACACACTATAAACTTGGGCAATTTCCCTACTACTTTTTTCCATAATCTAGTTCCTTAAAGTAGGAAGAAGACTGTGAACTATATATATGATTTAGTTTTATTCACCTGTCTTCCGTTTCTTTTTTTTGGCTAGGGTCTCCCTAGTCCCAGCCTGATTGAAAGTCACTATGTGGACCAGACTGGTCTCAATAAATCTCCAGAGATAACATCTTAATGTGTAACCCCCATTAGTCTTCCTGAGACTATTTTTTTTAATACTTGATGGTTGATGGGCCCCCAAGAAGTGTATACCCCAAATGCCCCATGTGGGCTGTTTTCTTTTTTTTTTTTGAGATCTGCCTACCTCTGCCTCCTGAGGGCCAGGATTAAAGGCATGCCACTATGCCCCAAGCCCTTTTTTGTTTGTTTTGTAAATATTTGAGTGTTTAAATCAAAAGGAGCCTATTGGCAATTGACAAGAGTTATTCCCTAGGGTTGTTATGCTGATGTATCCAAAAACAAAACAAAACAGGGGCCTATCAACCATGAAGTATTAAAAGAGATGGTCTCAGGAAGACTAATTGAGGTTATGCATTGAGGTGCAATCATCTCTGGAGATTTTTTGTGCTTGAAGTTCAAAGCTTTAACTTAACCTGAATATTTCCATTCAGTGTTCTTTTTGTCAGCAGGCATGCACTTCCTTCTGGCTTAAAAAATAATACACATAAACTGTCATTTTGCTAATATTTTCGTACGTTGAATTCTTACAGCTCTCTACACAAGGAGATGCAAGTCAGGTGATTGGACCTCTCACTGAAGGGCAGAAGAGAAATGTGGCAGTGGTGAATTCCCTGTTTAAGTTGCACCAATCAGTAACAAAGGTAATCTTTGTTTTCATTTTACAGAGGTAAATATTTAGAAGGCCTGAAGGAAACTAAAGGTAAGTTGATAGTCTTAAAAACTCGAGCTCTAAATCTAGCTCTAAGTGTGATAATGCATGCCTTGTAGTCTCAGTACCTGGGAGGCAGAAGGATTGGGAGTTCCAAGCCATCCTGAGCTACATAACAAGACCCTGTCTCAAAAAAAAAAAAAAAAAAAAAAAAAAAAAAATAACACAACAACAAAAATCAAAATTTGATCTCTAACATGTGCTTTAATATTCAGTATTATAGGATAAGTTTTTTTACAGTTCATTATTAGAGGTTCTGAAATATATATTTCATGAATTAAATAAAGCATATTCTCAAGAGTTAATAGGTAGATTTCACAGAAATGAAAGAACAAGAAACATTTAAGGGCATGCACGTCCCCTCTAGTCAGTTCTCGAGTGCACTGTAGGTCATGAAGGGTTATTCTCTATGGCCTCATGTAAATGTCTTTATTGATATTTAGTACTGACTTGCAAAAATGGAAATATGTGACATTTATATTTTAAAGACTGGAAATAAGAGTAAGCCTTTTAAAAGTTTTTTTAAAAAGCTAAGTAAATAGCCCGGTGTGGTGGCACACACCTTTAATCCCAGCCCTTGGGAGGCAGAGGCAGGTGGATTTCTGTGAGTTCAAGGCCAGCCTGGTCTACACAGTGAGTTCTGTAGTGGGGCTACAAGAAGACCCTGTCTCAAA